AATCAATCAGAATTCATTTATAAATAATAATATAATGATTATTTTTAATAATTTATTCAAATTTCAATATAGCAATTATTCTGTCATTTTTATAATAAAGATAAATAAAGAATAATATTTATCAATTTGACTTTTTGGGTTAAAAATTTAAAATACTATAATAATATATATTAAATTAGATAATTATACATTCCAAACCTATATAATCTAAATTTTTATGAATTGAATTAGGAAATTTTCAAAAAAAATATACTAATAATTTTGGAAATTAACAAATATCTATTTTAGAATCTCTATTTTTTAAAGGATTTTTCAATTTTGTATTTACCAAAATCATTTTAAAAGAGATTATATTGAAAAAAAAATAAGAAATTAATTTTATTCATAAGAATATGCAGATTTTATCTTTTTATTAAAGCAATTAGACTATTGACGATATCTTTATAATATAAAATTGTTTTTTTTGTTAATATCTCTTTAATATTGAACATCGAACTGAATTTATAATCGCCTTAACAAATTTTAATAATTTTCTAATAAAGTTAACCTACGAATGACCAAAGGGTTTTAATTAAGATCTTATACCTCTTTTTATAAGAATTAATTTTAATATACTATTAATTAATTTTTAGATACTTTCATTTCATTTTCTCACCTTAAAAAATGCTATTTTCTGAAATAATTCAAAGTGCTGATATTGATTTTTTGAATGATTATAAAAAGATGTTCTTATTTAAGATGTAAAAAATTATATTAGTTATTATTTTAAAATATAGTAATTTATAATCAGTAGATATATTTCTTTTTAATAATATATTTAATAAATAGTAAAATAAATATGATTAGAATAAGTGTTGATATCAATTCACCAAATACAACTTAAGAAGTTGAAGTTTATCCTTGTCAAAAAGCTATTAATATTGTGAAGTTAGTTTTTAATTAATTAAATTTTGATTAGGATCTTAGAGATAGTACATAAAGAACTTTTTTGATAGCAAATAAAGAGATTGATCTTAGTAAAACTATTGGAGCACTTGATATTAACCAATATTCAATAGTTAAAATAAAATTCTCTAAAAAAATTATAATAGAAATTGATAATCAATATATAGGTTTAATTTAACGCGAAGTGGATGTATTTAAATCACTCAATTACATTTCAGCTTTTTAATGAGAGAAATAATATAATTAAACTTAAATGACTAAAGTTGGTCTTAAAATTACAAAATAATAAAAGATAGTATTGAATTAGTAATATTATGAAATAAAAATCGATAAGTTTTAACCAATAGCTAAAATAATTCATCAATTTAAAAGCACAAACAAAATTAATGGGGATTTCTTAATTTTCAAAAACAGTTTTGGTCCTTTAAATCCAAATGAAATTTACAACAATTAGTATCAACCACTTGAACCTCTTTGGATAGGAGAAATTCAATTAGAATTAGTATACAAAATAAATTTTGAATAAGAGATTAAGGAGATTAGGGTCTCAAAAGATCTGTATATATTTGATCTAATTAGAATTATTAGAATGCCATCTAAAATTGATAAAACAATTTCATTAAAGTTAGAATACAAGTTTACAAATTATACACTGGATATTAAGAATACAATTAAATAAGAATGTGTATCACCATTCAGTAGTTTAACTCTTATTAAAGAGATTTCTGATAATAAAATCAATATTCAATTAGTTGATAAATAAGCATAAAAAAATTAAGTTGTGAGTATTTATAAGTTCGAGTAATTCATGATTATTAGACTTAAAAAATTTTTTATTGTGTGTGAATATATAAAAGATAGAAATTGTAGTTTATAACAATTAGAATTGAAATCAGAATGCATTATTGAGTATAACATATAGTCTTAAGATTAAGATAGTAATTCTAATAGAGTTGAGTTTTATAATGTTTATACAAAAATAAGTATTTAAAAGAGTTAAAGGTTCAAATAGTATTTCAGATGAATTAAAAGAAATCACAAAGCATCAAGTTATTAAAAATCCAGCATATTACACTATATAAATAAATAAAGGATTGACATTTAATAGAAATTGAATCAATTTAAGTTAATTCAAAATCTTACTTAATATTGCAGTTTGATAATTAAGAAGGATAAACAACAACAGTATATGAAGCAAAATTAGAAAGTACTTTAAAAGAAGTTATTAATTAAAATAATATAGAAGGTGACAACTTTTTTTTGCAATATAAGAGATTTACCAATAGAAAACATTTCTGTAATAAAATTCCGATAAATGATTAAATTTGGGATTTTTTAAAATAATCAAACTGATAAAAAAATAGTTTCAAATATAAAATGAGAGTTTACAAGAATTTCTTCCTAAATTAGGGTATGGAATAAAAGTCTTTTACTATAAGAATTAGAATTTGGATTTTTCAACAGGTTACAACATTATAATTGGCAGAAAATGGAATCATTACATGAAGAAATCAAGGTATATGAACCGTCAATCGATTTAGATGAAATTAAAATTTCTAAATAAATTGATGTAGCAATTTTAGGAGGGTAAAGAAAACTAATTTAAAAAGTAAATTACAATACTAAAGTTGGGTAGTTAAAATAACAATTATTTAATGACATATTAGCAGGCTTAAGAAATCAAATTTAAGCTTATGT